TAGATCATATATAAGTATGATATAAATCAGGTCCCTGTGAAACTCCATTGTTTACCGCTTCAGAATAATAACATTCACCCCTAATCTGTAACTCTTGTTTTCCTTTTCTATTTGTTTTACATACATAGATAATGTAATCAAGTGACTCATCAGCTTTGTATAACAGCATATGCAAAGATATGCATATGAAACTCACCTGCTCATTCACCCTTTTTTAATGTAACATGCCAAAAAGGGGGGAATTAGTGTTGTCCATGCTTCTGCTCCACTGGGAAGGCAGGCACTGGACACAGAGTACTGGCCCTCCAAAGTTCACCCATGAGTGCCAAGATGTCTTTGGGTAATGGAGATACATCCAGGACAGGGAGCTCAGAGCTCATCATGGATGCCACTTCGAAGGGACACTTCGTAGTTATTATGGACTTTTGATCATGGACAGCCGGGTACTCAAACTCCTATCCTCAGACACTTCGAAGGAGAGCAAGCCTAGGCTTTCAAGGTCTTTCTCCAAAAGAGGTGAAACAGTTTCTGCTGGTTCTGAAGGGCAGAAAGGGAATGCCAGTGTTTGTTACGGAGTGTGCGGCTGTATCTCTTTATTGTATCTTTTTTCGTGTTGCCACAGATGAAGGGACTGGGAGCTTGGTATGGAGGAAGGGTGGCTCTGTGATGAAAATGTGGATGAGATGTACTGTAGGAAGCCACAGCGGGTAGCTTGGGCTGTGTATGTGTAGATCTTAGAGAAAATCTGTGAAGAGAAGTGGAAAAACCTGTCCAATAAAAAGGAAGACAAAAGCAGTGAAGTTCATAGAGAACAGGGAAGCATGTAATATACAAAGAGGCGCACCAAGACACACAGAACATGTTTAGGCACACAATATACAGGGGTGCACAGACATCCAGCTGGGATGCTGAAGTAATAAGGTCAAATACAAAGGCATGGATGGGGTGCATAGTGGCACCAATGTGCATTGAGGCAGGAAGTGCCAGGGGTTGTACGGAGGTATGGGTTGGATACATGGAGGCTCTGGATATACTGTACACTGATGGGAACTTCCTGACAGACCAGGCAAATGGATGTACAGGGATACATAAAGGCACTATGCTGAATGGAGCAATAGGGCCAGGCAGACAATAAATATTAAAAAGGCTGTGAAGAAAGATGGGTGAGAGACTGGTAAAAGAATCAGAGTCCAGGCTACAGAGATGAAGTGATCATCATGTCTTTATTTCAGCTGAAGTTAAGGCACAGCAACATGAGAGGACGAAAAAAGTTTTATCTTTTTCCTTCTCTGTGAGTTTCCCCTGGCAGAGCTTTCTTAATAGCCAGATAACAGAAGTTAAAATTCTCTTTCCCACACAACCCCCTCTTCCAGCAGCTACAGTAAATGACTTTCCATTCTCATCTTTCTGTTATCAAAAACTTAATTTGTTTCTACCTGCAGTCTACACATTATGCCAGAATTACAAAGACATACTGTTAACAAAGGCAGCTTTTAAACACAAACAACTTTTTACAGATGCAAGGTCATCAGTGCTTCGAGTAACCATTGGGTTACACAGAAAGTACAGGCAAAAGATAACTACAATATAATGATTGCAATAATTATGAGATTATCTTGGTGTTATTTAAAAGATATACCGTATAAAAATCAATCCTTTATCTGTTTCAGGAGCCTGCAGTTCCTCTCTCACTGCCACTTACATTCTTTTAAGATAAAAACAGGTAGGAATGAAAAAAGGCTGATCTGAATAAAAGAAAGAAAGTCAATTATTTTAAAAAAGAGGGGAAATATGCAAAGAAATATGGAATATGGAATATGGAAATATGGACAATATTATTCTGTTCCTCAATGTCACACAATACATCTGGGGATTTTACACGAGGATGAACAGGTTATTTTTTTAAATGAGTATGACCATTTTGACTTAGATGAGATGCTGTGGTCAACCCAGCCACTTACGTTAATCGCACATTAATATTTTTAAACAAGCTTTCTACAGGGGTGATAACAGGAGACTAGATTAATTCTTAGCTCTGGGTTTTCAATCTGGACTGATTGTACACAGATACACACCAATACACACTTTGAAATGGTTAAATATAGGCAGTGATCAAAACCAAACCGACGTGCATAGTCATAGATATATACAAACAGTTATAGTCACACATAGATACAGTCACAGATACAGTAGATGACAACTATAGTCATAAACATAGTATAATGTATCTTGTCATGGAAAAGGATGTTAGTAGATTGATGACTTCCTATATTTGTTACAGAACGACCATGTTAAATAGGCACCATCTTTCGGATGAGATGTAAATCTGAGGTCCTGGCTCTCTGTGGTCATTAAAAATTCTAGGATAATTTTTAAAAAGAATAGGGGTGTTACTCTGAATGGCCAAATTTCCCATTTTTTCCCAGGAGAGCAGAGTAATGAAGCCAATTCATAGATGGGGATTATTAGGAGGCCATGACTGGTAAGGGCCAATGGGAAATTTGGCCAGAATGCCAGGGTTACACCCCTACTCTTTTCAAGAGACGACCTGAGATTTTTAATGCCCACAGAGTCAGGACCTGGGTTTTATGTCTCATCCGAAGGATGGCGCCTGTTTACAGTATAGCTTCCCCATCACTATACTGGGGCATTAGGACCCACACAGACTGTAGGGTGAGCACCCCTTGCAGGCCCCACTAACACCTCTTCCAGCAGCAACCTTAGTTTTTCCCAGTAGGTCTCCCATCCAGGTACTGACTAGGCTCACACCTGCTGAGCTTCAGTGGGCTGCCACTTGTGAGTTGCAGGGTGATATGGCTGCTGGCAATTGTAGATGATGTAATTATGTGACTTGTCAGCTTTGTATAACAGCTCATGCAAAGATATGGATATAAAATTCACCTGCTCACCTGCTTTTTTAAAGTAGCATGCTCTTGTTGATGTTCTATACTAATTGGCTAGTTGCATTCAGAAAACATTTTCTTTTAGAACAAATCCAATGTGGTGGGCAAGCCATGCGACTAATTCATTGTCCTGAGCAAATCGAAATTTTGGACATGAACTAACATTGTTCATTTGTATTGTTCAGAACTGTATTTTCACTGGTTTCAAAATAGATTTTTGAAACTTCTGAGTCACCCCTGAGAACCTAGGTCCTGGGTTTATCCATCTTTACTCCCAGAGCTTGCTGTGATCGGGTCTGGCTATGTGATAGGGTCTGGCTATGACCCTGAATTGGAAAGAGCAGTTAGCAAATGAATGGATAAATAGGGTATCTTTATGACAGCAACATGCAGTGAACAGCCTTAGCAGTCAGCCTACCTGATGTATAGCAAATGTTCCTTTGTTAAGCCTCATAGTTTTAGTGGAGAAGTCATTCAATATTTTTGCCAAAACATCATTCCATTAACACACTCTTTTATTATGGACAACACACATACTGTTGTCAGCCCACAGCATTTCGTACCTCCACAACAGCTCCTCTTACAGCTCTGTACACAAAGTTTCTCAAAGATCCAGCAGGATTTGTGCTTTGATACATCATCCAATAAACATTTTAAATCCTGCTAAATCCAATGCATGCTTAAAATAATGTACAGTACTACATCAAGGATGAGAATGTAATGCCATCTGGTGTATTCAAGTTGTAATAGCATTGCTCAGAAAGTTAGGAAGTATCTCAAAAGTGAAAATATCTCCCATCCCTCCCATTATGTGTTTAATGGGTGTCTGAGTGGTTGTGCTTATTCTTAATGGTAATAAAATAAGAAATATAATAGAAAAAGAATACCTTTTACCTATATACATTTTAATTTAATTACGTTATTGCTTAAGGTCATTTTTTAAATACTACTAAACTATTTCAAATATTGGTATTTAAATATGAAACATGCTTATTATGAAAAGTCCTGAAAGTGCTTGTAATTGTTTTCAAATCTCAATTGTAACATTAAAAAAAGTATTTGTATGTATCACTGGCGTTCAATCAAGGATATACAGTACATTGTCCTGTGTTAGATAGGTTAGACCTTGCCTTATCAATACCTTACACTGGACTACAAGGTTATTGAAAAAAAGAAAGATGGAAACTCTCCTTGCCCATACCTTCGACTATAAAATATACCATGTTTAAAACTATTTCTATGATGCAACTGATCCAGTTTGCACTGATCCAGTGCAAAGTTTCTTTTTAAACTGAAAATTTTACAGTACTGCCTCGTTTCCAGGTTACATATCCACCTATTATCAATTTGAAACCAGCCTATTGATTGTACCTTTTACAATTGGAAGATTAAATATGAAAGGACACACATTTTTTAAAGACTCCAAGTCTGCAAAATATCATGGTGTATTCAAGCTCCAAAACTGGAGAGAGAAAAGAGTCGAAGTACAATAATGATGATGACTATAACTTAAGGCCACGTTTGATATTGTTCTTTTAAGGCTGAACATTTTTCTACTCCAATATAAACTCAATATAAATATGATTTTTAATTCATGTTAATCAATTCAACTTTAACTAAGAACGTACTGTAGGAAAGATTACAAATCACAAGAGGCCTTTTGGACTGTTTGGGAGTTAGTAGTCTATTGATCTGACATCCTTATCCAGCCTTTTCTTGAAGGCAGCCTAATTATCAGCTTCATCCGTAAGGCTAAGTAACCATTTGTGCCTCTCGTTCTTTCTTTTAAATCCACTTTAATGTAGTTTCTACTTTAGTCCTTTGGTTTGTGTTTTTCTGTTAATTCTAAAGCAGTCAATGCCTTGGGAAATTTGAATACTTGAACCTGGTCCTCTTCTAGTGTTCTGTTCAAGACTAATAGGCTTATTTTCTTTCAGTACTGTCAATGTTAGACATACCTTTAGGTCCGAAAATGTTTCTGGTTTCTCTTTTCTGGAGTGAAATCAGAGCAGCAATACATTTCTTGTACCATAGTGATCAAAATTGTAGAAAATATTCTACGTATTTCAATAGAGTGGAAATAAAAACAGTCAGTAATACAGTTTTTAATTGTTATTTAATAAACTCCTACAGTGTAACAAAAAGCATAACCTCTGCAGTTACTTATTTAACAAAATAGCCATACTAACATGTGAAAACATTCAGTCTTTTTTACAATGAATTCAAAATTATTTGCCTTTATGGTCAAAATGTATTTTTGAAATATTTAAATATTAATTTAACACTTTCTGTATAGGAATCAAACTAACATTCTCATTAACATTATCATAAAAATGTCAAGGTAACATACTGTAAATGGAAAATAACATTCACTTTTCAACAATGTAAGTATTCTTTCAATGTGCTGGATTATAATAAAAAAGTGGCTTAGTAAAAAATCTCCTTAAGATAGTAAAACGTAAACTAGTTGTATCTTCTTTTAGCCAATAATGAACATATTTACAACAAAACTACACTTTATCTCTTGGAGAACTGACTTGATATTAGCATGTGTTCCTTTTCAACAGAAAAGTCCTCTGCCTAATTAAAATGACTACTACAAAGATGAACACTCACTGACATTACAAGGCATATTGTCCATAATGAGCAACTATCCTTTTTACTTCTTAAATGTGTTATAAATGTTCCTGCATAATATTTCTACATGAAGATGCTATTTAAGTTTTATAATTGTCTCCCTTTGGGAGGTGGGTGTTATTTTGTCAGGTTTGAACAGGAAAGAAAGAACTATTGAAATTAAAAGGGATGGCATCTCTACAATGCAACTTTGAACAATTATATTGCACCAATTATATTGGAAGTCCATAACCATTTTGTAACAAAGGGAAAGTAGAATGACACACATTACGGTTATTCTTGTCCTGAATTAACGACTCCTAGAGCAGAGGAAGAATGATTGTGCAGGATGCCATCACAAAAAATGTGTAGACATAATTTAATAATGAAAATTAAATTACTGTTGAAATATTTATAACAATCTTTTGCACTGAAGGATATCTGATTATGCACAGATAATATACACATTTGGTGTAGAATCGTAATGTATAGAAACAAGATATCTGTTATTCAAAATGTATATTTATTTCTTCATAAATGATGGGCAAGGCAAAAGAAATGAGTAAAATTCAATTCACAACAAGTCATTTCTTTCAATTCCAGCTTATTAAATAATGCAAATGTATTTTTGGGCAGGAATGCAAAAAAACCCTTTTGGTTTAAATAAATTAATTCAAGTGTTCCTTGTTTGCTGTCCCTAAAACCAATCAAAAAGAGAAAAAATAATGTTCATATAATATAAAAAAATGATACATTTATTATTTATATTATCATTTACTGTATATATAAATCTGATAAAGTTAGATAATTAAGGACAACAGATGATGTCAAAATTGCTCTGTAATAATAAAAACAACACGTCATATAATTGTTTGCCATTAAAAAGCTGGAGCTGAATTAAGCACACAGAATAACAGAATTCATAGTTTATTGGAAAGTGAATTACACACTTTGAGATCCTTTCACCTTCTTTTACAAGTTTTTTTTTTTACTGCAATACAGTATATGCCTTCTACAGTTCTGTTAAATGTTTGGTTAGATAAAAATGTATGGGATAAATTGCTAAAAATTGTCACTTTTTAAAAAAAAAACTGGGCCATACCGAGCAACAGAGATTTCTAAAAGCAATAAAATAAAGATGTCAAATGCCAGTAAATCTTATAATATTTCTAAAAATGGCACAGTTATTAAGCTACCTATACAACCCCAGAAAATGTTATCATTGTGAAATATCATAGTAGTAATCTCTTAGCCTTCCTTCAACAGCGTGAAATCCAGGTCTCTCGTCAGTCCTGCAAAGAGAAATAAACAAAACATTACAAACGTGATTTAACATTTCAAACATACAAATGTGATTTAACCATTAAATCAACATACATTGCTTGCTGGAGTGAACTCCTTCATCCTTTTGACCACGCAATCATTTCATTTTTATTATGTGAATTTATTTGACTGTGGTTCTTATCATTTTGTACTGTATCTATACAGAGGTATAAGTAACTCCGCACATATACAGTACATGAAGATGACATCATTTGTTAATATTAAATTATTGCATTGATATTCCTTTTCCCCTAACCGTGTCAGTAAGTGGAGAAGGAAAGGCAGGAGAATGCTGATGTCTGTTAAGGGACAAAGTGTCAAGAGACTGGCAACCACTAAAAGCACTTGAGCTAAATAGTGAACATACAGTGGGGAGAGGGGAAGGAGTATGTCAGTGCTAAGGTGACAGAGTGAAGGTCAAGGAGCCATCCCACACTACATACAGTAGTGAGCACAGTACGCTCACCACACACACCAGCTATCACTGGGGAGGAGAACAGGGTGATAAAGCCAATTCATTGTGTAGACGTTTTTAGTAGTAAGTTAAGGTTTGGTAATAGTTTGGCTGACATTTTGTCAGGTCTGGCCAAGGGGAATCCCACCCAGGTGGGAGCAGTTTTTATTTGAGGCTTTAACAGGGAGATATGGGGCTAAGATTGTGGTTGATCCCCTTGTTTCTGTGTGACCTCTGTTGGTTAGGTTGGAAAGAAAATATGTGGTTTTCTAGAACTTTGATTGTCTTTGTGTTTTTAAATGAACAGCATCTAGAACACAGGTTGTTTTAGTCATTAATGATAGATCTCTGGCTACAGTTTAACCAATTTCAGTCATGCAAATAAAAATAATTTTCTGCAGAATGAGCTGCTAGTGAGGAACACAGACAGATTGAGTTCACAATTTCAACAAGTCTCTTGTCCTGTAAATCTCCTCATGCATTTGGATTCTAAGCAGAATCAAAATAGCTCATAATTCTTTGTTGTTGTTTATTGCTAAGCACAGTTTTCATTAAAGGTTATAGCTCTTCATATAAACTCTAATGTCAGAGAAGGCAGCATTAGAATGTTTAGATTTTAAAGGAAAACTTTGACTCACTTATAGGTCCAGCACTTGCGCATGATGTCATAAACTTCAGACGGGCACTCAGCAGGTGCTTCCATCCTATCTCCACGTTCAATCATTTGCAAAACTTCGTTTCCTTTCATCCCCTGCAACCCCCGCAGAACAATTAGTTATTTAGTTGCAGTTATTTTGCAGTTATTTTTTTGCATGTTAATAAATTGACGGAAATAAGAATATATTGCAACTTGCAACCTTGAATTAGACACAGCGGTTTCTCGCAGGTATAGAATGGATGTACTGCCCAGAACATGTAAAGGGATTTTGAAAATGTTGTGTATAGTATATTCTGTTTAATAAGCTTAAACAGAATCATAGAAATAACAAACATTTATAAACGTTTATAAGGGAGTTGAAAAAGGACGATGTTCTTCTCATCCCACATACAGTAATAGAGAAATGTAGTAGAAACTAAAATATGTGTTAAGTCATTAAGATTATGTGCCTGCCTATTCGTTAAGAAATAAAAAAAAAATGTCCAACTGATTCATATTGTAACGCAACGGGGTTCAGGTGGGCGCCCTTGCTGCATCAGGTCGGCCCCGCACCGTCAGGGTCTTGAACCCGGGACTCCCGGGTCACTCAACAGGGACCTAGCCCAGTGAGCTAAAGAGAGATCTCTCCACAGCCCAGGGCCTGTGGTCCTGCTATTACAGGGAAGGGCAGCGACGTCCCCGCTCTGGTAAGCCGGCTCTTACACAGTACCTGTCGGCCATATGTGTTACACTCTCCCCTGCTTAACTCGCCATCCCCGGCGAAGGGCTATCCCATCCCGCTTCTGACACCAATGTAACGCAACAAGGTTCAGGTGGGCGCCCTTGCCGCATTAGGTCAGTCCCCCACTGTCGGGGGCTCGAACCCGGGACTCCTGTGTCACTCAACAGGGACCCAGCCCAGTGAGCTAAAGAGAGATCTCTCCACAGCCCAGGGCCTGTGGTCCTGCTATCACAGGGAAGGGCGGCGACGTCACCGCTCTGGTAAGCCGCCTTCAATATTACAATATTCAGTATTTTCAAATTTTAAACAATCTTACTATTTAAATCATGCAAAGCTCAACTGAGATGTATATGATCGTGTTTAGACATACATTTTGATTTGAAATTTGTGTTGTTGGAAAAATGTACTTGTTTTTTTTTAAGGAGAAAGATGAATCGTCATTGTGACATGTGAAGTAGAAAACCTTGTTTACCCCATTTCATTAAAAGAAAGCTATTCATAGCAAATAAGGGTATCTGTCTTGTGATAACTATAGATTCAATAGGTAACACAAGAAGCTATAAATCTGAAAACTGACCTTTTCACATCAGTGATACAATTCTTGCCTGAGCTGTGACAGATGTGACAGCTGTGACTGACAGATGTTCTCGTACATTTTGCAGCTGTGGCACTATTTTTGGTCATCTCCCTAACCATCCTAACCATTGCAGGAACCATCACCATTTATGAACAATGTTCTGTTACTATTTGTTAAAAGAAGAGTAAAAATGTTTGTTTTTTTAAATAATTAACCTAAAACTGCTTAAAAAGCAGCTTATTACTAAATTATAAAGCATTTACATATTCTTCTCCAAAATAGTTTTACAACAGAACATGGACTTACAGTAAACACATTCACTATCCATACTGTATACAGTTCAGCAATGTGGTACACAAGTCTTGTTATTTAATTACAAATTTGGACTGATGGCCAGAGCAGAAATGCTATTATCTTGCAACCCCAAGAGGTTTGTTTAAATTTATACGTATCACTCAGTTTGAAAAAGTAACTGTGTATTCTTTAGAAAATATTTCAAACATTCAATTATGTGTATAGAGGTAACTTCAAACTGTGTTATATACCTCTTGGCCAATGGACAGTTTCACAGTGTACTATACAATGAGAGACACTGGTTGGATGAAGAGATTTCAGCATTTACAAGGAAATAAAATAAAAAAAACACATTTGAAATGTTTTGGATTATGTTTTCAAAGCATGTTCCATCTCCAGGTTTAACAGATTCTGTATGCTAATTATGTGATGTTATGATTCAAGCTAATCAATGTATTACTTTAAACAATCTGATTGATTCATAGCCACAGAGTTGATAGTGATATACAGTAAGAATTTGTGTACTATTACATTGGCATACAGTTTTGGCTCTTTCAACACAGACATCTTTCTTCTCTGTAAATGTGTTAAAACACAGACAATTGGTTCATTTGTCATAATCATTAGGCATTAGAAAAAACACTTTACACCTCAGCTAACAGGTTATACTTCAGAAGGTCTGTGTGCTGATGTCTTACTTTGTATGGCTTCTGTCCATAGGAGTATGCTTCCCACATCAAAACACCAAAGCTCCATACGTCACTTTTGCTGGAAAACTTGAAGAAATTAATGCATTCTGGAGCATACCACTTCACCGGCCATTTTCCATGAGTTTTGGCCTGAAAGCAAAATAAAAAGAAACATTATTGAATATAAAGCAAGTGTGTTTTTTGGTTCCAAAGCAATGGCAGCACTGGTTTTAAATTTCCATTCATCTTCAATTCAGAAGCAAGAATCAGTATAACTGACGTTTTTGGCTTTTTGATGTGCAGTACTGTAGATGTGATGTGCCATTCTTCAAGGATCCTGTTTTCTTTCATTTGGATTATTTTTTAATTATATGTAATGTTAGCATACATTTTAATATTTTTTATATTAAGACAGATATGTCAGATCAATATGTACAGTATAATTGACCAACACGTTTTTGAAGCTGATTAATACATATTTGTTTTTGCTTGTTCTGCTCATTCCTACTGAAGCAACCTGGCTCAAATGTACAAAAGGAATGAGCCACTTTGGATTTGAATCCATTATCTTCTAGCATCCCTAACCACTACTGCACACTACTTACAAAAATTAATTCTGTGTTCTAACCAAGGAGCTAGACCATAAAAAATCAAGTAATGGTTGAATGGGGTACATAATACTGTCATATGACCTAAAGTGTATAAACACTACAAAACACGACATAACAACATGCATTTATGCAAATGACACTACAGGTGCTCCAATATTCATAACGGTTTGTAAAAAGAGCAGCAGTAGCAGAGTCTGGGTAAAGAGAAGTCAGGTGATGAAAGACACCATTAAGCAATTTTCTGAACATTTTATTTTATTATCCCATATACTTTTTAGACATGTTGTTATTGTATGTACTGTAGTGTGATGAATACGATATGACAGTTTTCTGCACCCACATTCAAGCAAAACATGGCCAAAAAAGACCAAGTGAGGACAACAGCATATTAGAAAATCAGTTTCTGTCACGGATGTCCAAAGGGACTAACCGTGGGGAGCAGGAGAGCAGAAAAAGACCCATATGCGTAGCGGCGAGACGGGAAAAAGGCCCGGGCTCATTAGTGCAAAGAGTTCAGGAATGCCGTATGGAAACCTATGCCCTCAGGGAGCGGACGTGGGGCGCCCTGGTGCTAGGCGGGTCTCAGGACATCCGAACGTCAATGCTGAGCGAGGACAGAGTGCAAGACCCGGAAATATATAGCCCAAGGAAGAGAGGGACAGGAAGGACAGCAGACCGGAAACTAGGGACAGGACAGAGAAGGAGCGCCCTCTGGCTGCAGAGGGCGTGACAGTTTCAGTATATTTCCCATGTGTAAATCAGGGTCACAAGACATCAAAGTGTTTAAAGTTTATTTGGTGTAACTGGCCTGGCTGGTGATGCACTTTACAGGAAAGAACCAGGGAGCTACTGCAAGGGTGGAGATGTGGTGAAGGGAGAAATGCGAGATGGGCAAAACGTCCTCAGGAGGGAAGATATTTATGTACAGAGGAGCAGAAACAGGTGAGGTTGACGTTTAAGCTCCTCCCAAACTAAAAATAAAGTAAGAATGAAGTCCTGTTTTATTACACTTAAATTCTAGATTTGCTTCTGTGCAACTTACTTTGTAATAGTTCTCTTCTGCTGCTAATGCTTTGGACAGTCCGAAGTCACTGATTTTCGCGTAGTGCTGAGTGACTAATAGCACATTCCTGGCAGCTAAATCTCTGTGAACAAAGTTGTTATCTTCGAGGTACTTCATTCCCATAGATACCTGGTGGACTAATTCTGTGATATTCCTCACAGTTATGTGCCTGCAGATGTGAAGAAACATATGGTTAAAAACATTCTTTTTACAGTCCTATACTAGAATACCATTCTATAAATTAAATGATTTGAAATGAAATATTTTCGTGAGAAAACATACTGTATGTGTTCAAAACCTTTTGGAAAATGTTTACCATAGGGAGATGTGTTTAGAATGGAAGAATGCACGCTGAACATGCTAATGTAATTATGCTAATTAGTCTTTTAACTAATAAACGACATTAAAAGTAGTTCCCCCATGCTTTTGTCCTTTTACTGACCCCGTCTTAAAAATAATGTTCTGAATAATACTGAAGATAATATTTAATATTTTACTATCTAAGGTAAGTAGTGACCTAAATAACAAAAATTAAAAAGAAGTTGTAAGATAGAGCACTATTCAAAAAACATCAGAGGGAAACAGGTTTGGGTGTTGATTTAATCAACAAGTGTTGATTAACTTGTTCGCATTACTTGGGCAGAGGAAAATAAAACTTAAAGAAATTCACGTGACAGACATTAAAACCATTTGGTCATTTCCTCGTCTTTGATAAAAATGGGTAAAATGACAATAGTGGTTTCCTATATGAATAAATGATGGTATTATATGTACTTGTGTTTCTGCAGATATTTGTTAAGAGGTCCCAGTTCTGCTAGTTCCATAACCAGCATCAGGTTTTCTGCATCGCAGATTCCAATCATTCGCACAATGTAAGGATTGTCCAGCTGCTGCATCACGTTGGCTTCTCGAAGCATCTCCTCCTTCACAGCTGGGTCATTGTCATCATTCTTCAGGATTTTAACAGCTACAGGTTTTTCAGTCCTGGTAAACAGGGTGGAAGAAGGGTTGGACAGGCTTTACAGTTTGCCAAAAATCTTTGAATTACTCATGAGGAACTTTGTAAATACAATGGGCTTGTATTCTAACATCTCAGTATACAGTACGTAGTTAATGCATTGTAGACATGACTAGTGAGGGCTTTGGCTTTTCATCATTGTCTATGTCCATCACAATAGATCTTGTCCAACACAATACAAGGTGCTTTAGGTTGGTTTGGTAAAACCATGAAGGCAAGGTGCACACCCACTGTTTCACACTCTTCTTGTAGCCCGAATAGATTAGAAATGTCAACCAAAAAACATTCCTTAGTCAAGAAAAAAAGATTAAATTAACACAGCTCCAAACTTGAAAGGAGTGTTCTAATTTAATTTGAAACGTCTGAGTTAATGGCTCATTAAGTGTACAACACTGTATGTTGTTGTGTGTTTTGAACAAGGAGATGAATGTTTACAGAGAAGTCAGAGAATTTTCCACATTGTTTGGGAAAAATGTTTATGAACACAAACCCCCGCTGTTGGGCGGAAAGGAATTTATTAATATCAGTCCATGCGGGGATCAAAAGAAGGTTGTCATGATGTGTAGTGTTCAACAGATCATATTGAATTTATTTTCTGGAAAGAGCAAATTTATTGCAAATTATGGAAAAACAAAACTTTCTATTTGAGGCATGTCTTGGACACTTTTCAGTGCCTAAGTGGTGAAGTTATAGCTTGTATTTTATTGACATTGCCATTAAACCAGCAAATTTGTTTTTGTATTGAGTATGTTCAGAGATGTACTTCGTAACAGATTGTGGACTAATCTCTGGTGGACTACAATATCACTTACATAAATTCATCTGTGTGCATGAATAATGCAGCCAGCTTCCTCTTTCATCATAGTATTAACTGTGCATACTGTAAGTGGTATTTTATGTGCATTGGTTATGTATTTTAAATACAAACTTCAAGCAGATAACTCCTTAGGAATTGAACCCAGGGCCCCAGCACTGTGAGGTAACAATGCTAAACATTGAGCCACGATGCTGTTTCCATTTCTTAAATATGTAATAAAAATACACTTAAGTTGTTCACTATTCACCCCCACTATTTTCTATTAAGTGCTTACTTTGTCATTTTATAAATTCCTTTCATGACTTTTCCAAAGTTTCCAGAACCAAGCTCCCCATCTTCCAAATAGAGCTGTTTGCGGTCCAGGTGAACTGTTTTTGGTTTCAGTTCTTCAGGGTCTGCATAGGGACTTTCATAAACACTTGTGTCCATAGGCATTGCCTCTGGAGAAAGTACTGCTTCATTGAAAAAAAAAAACACAGGTCAATATACTGTATGAAACTATACTGAGGAAAGTAATGTGTCTTACCATGATAAAAATGGTAGTGAGTGTAATTAAAACATTTATTTCTGCACATGTATCAATCTCTGAGCTCTCTCATATTCTGAGCTAAAATTATTTGGAATCATTGGGATAAATCCCAAGCATAGGCAATATAGTTTTGTGTAACTGAATAAATGATAATCCAAAAAAATCTTCATTTCAGAAAACTGAAAGAATGGGACAGATTTTTTGTGTTCAAGGAAAAAAAAAGTTTTAGTTTATACTATAATGTACATGAAATGCTATTCTGATACTAAACTTTAATTACATCTATAGTATACTTAATTAAATCTTTAATATATTTAATTAAAGACTTCCTTCACTTACCTTTGATTTTATTTCTTGCCACACTAGGTTCATAAGTATTTTGGTGAGCAGTGGCAGCCTGTATAAATGCATGAGAAGTCATTAAGTACAAGGCACACCAAGCATGATTAGGAAGGGAGCTCAGAATAAATATTGCATGAATGATTAAATGCACAATTTGCAAGCATTAAAGCAGAGTTTGAATTTTTCAGACAGGATTGTCAAGCCTCATTTCCTTTAAAGGCACGTGAACTGGAGTCCTTAGAAATTTGCACTCAAAAATAGTTTCATATATTGTACCATCTGGATAAACTATGCGACTCTCTCAATATCCCTGTTAAGGAGACACTGACTTTGGCAAAATTCTGGTTTTCTCACATTACAGTGGTTATTTCAAATTTAATTTTACAAGCGCCCTAGTAGTCCAATTCCCCTGTCTCGGGACTTAAATTTCAGAATCCACTAAAAGCTTTTAGTTACAATATAGTTTTTAATGCTTTGGGTCACCATAAGATGCAATATTTATCACCTCAGGTTAGTGTAGCCTGATGATCAGATAAAGGTGATCAGAAATCACGTGTCTCTCTCAAGTAAAGAAAAGATCTTTGAGGTTTCAATAAAGTGCCCTGAAGGTGTTGAGATCTTGACTCACCCAAATGAAGGGAGAAACAATTAAATTAAAATTAAAAGGAGCTGCTTTCAAAAGATTTCAGACAAAACAAAACTGAGCAGAATGATTATTTAGTTTCTGGAGTAAGCCGCACAACCTTAAAGAGACAAATTAATTGGTAGACGACACAGTACAAACACTCTTTCTGTAAAGCATTTTTCCTTATTTTCATTGGTAGACAGCAAACATCCTATAGAGCTTTGCAATGGCAAAACAACACTATACCAGTAGGGTAAAACCATTCATAAAATGTGAAGCAATACATCTAGATTATATTATCATTCAATTCAATTTTAATCTGTATGTTTCTTTCCTTGTGTGTTACAGAACACTGATTAAATGACTGACAAAATACAGAACTGTACATATACATGTACATATTATACACCATATACAGTACTGTATATGGTAACTACAAATTGATGCAATCTATTAAAACAATAACATTGTGAAAACTGTGCACCATAGAACACAATCTGGTTCACTTGCAGTCCAAATCATTATAACGTGTTGCCATGGTCTATAACAGACAACAGTACATGTTCCAAAAGATGCCATGTTATCTCAATATGACTGCAACTGTGTGTTACAACACATCCATGATGGACTGCAAACATGACACATCTAATAACACAACTGCATGTTTGGTGTCCACAGCCATTGTCCAGGGAAATATCTTCCCCGTGTTTGTATGTCCATCATTTTTGTTGCTCCATGTTACACAAGTTTGAAAAAACGGTTCTTTAAAAAAGCTAGAACCTATACTTACACAAATACAGTACTATGTATATGTATGTACATGTATACATGCTGGCGTTAATATCTGTCAGAACAAATTTTAGATCAAAATACCATAAATTCAAAATGTATTGCATTTCCTTGGATGTACAAGAACAATTTAGATCATTTATACTTGAATGCTATAATAAGACGCTTTTCAGTCTAAAAAGATTATGAAATAAAAGTTGAAGGGTGTTTGTATGGACAGGTGATTAATCTCCAGAAAAAGTAACAATGGAGCTAGGTAATTATACATACATATATTATATATAATTAACTAAAATTAATTATTTCTTTTGTAATTAGCATACTTTTGTAAAAGAGAACATGCACACGCAGGTGCCATTGAAGAACTCCATAATGATAGCTTTTGTGTTTGATTTGTGATTTGGAATATACTGTATAGTATATATTTTATAACTATTTTATTTAAAATGAGAGAAGCTTGAGCTCCACATAATTTTTGGGTGAATTAAAAAGACCCGACCAAGCTACAGTATAATTCAATTCAACCACAAAAAACAGCATATACACTTACATGACCTCTGGAGGGCAGCAAAGAAATAACTCTTAGTCTAATATTTTTGATCTCCCTTGAATTTCTATTGAGGTTTTCATCCTAAAGCATCCCACAACATTATAGAGTTCATATACAGTACGTGTATAAACACATACTATATTTATACACTACATAATGAAAAGAACCACTCAACCCACCACTAAAGTGATTATGATCCAGTCATTACATAACAGCTCATGAGGAAGACAGAGAGCTCTCTTCAGCAATTGAATTAAAGGCACTTTTAGTTAAGACATGTTGTGAGTTCTGTAAGTGGAATCAAGGCAGGACACCAGCATAAATAGTATCCTGGCTTTTGAAAAGCGCCTTACTCTTTGAAAATTATTTACCAAGTTGTCTATTGACCAGTCTCATCATTGGCTTTGAAATTCTGGTCCAGAGTGAAGAGTTCCCCGTACTGGTCCACTAACACCACTAACAATCTACAGTCCTGAATGGAGCTGGTCTTGCTTTTCATCTTAGATCACTAGTCCTAGATATTGTGGATTGGGACCTTTGCTAACTCCTGGAAGGGACTGTATAATGTTAATATATTATACAGTGTATAATGTATACTGTACATATATTTATAAGCATTTTAGAAGCATTTTGATAACAATCATTTAACAATGAAACAATGTTCTCTACCACAAAATACAGTGAGAAGTAATGGTCGGACATGCAGCTGATTCTTATAAAGCTCACTGTGTTGCATGAAAATGGAAGACAGCTATAATTTCTTACCAGAACAAAAAAAAAACTTTTTTTAAATTCTACAGCACAGAGTTTAGAAAAAAACAGTGCCATTCCTTAGGTTTAGGTTTTTACATACTGTATGTAAGGTAATATGTCATTTCATTAAGGGACTAGTCTCTACAGTTTTGTAAGTGCTGTAGAATTACTGCAGCTTTACGCTGTCGAGTTGAATAGTAGTAAAGCAGAAAAACACTTGTGAATTAAATAACAGTTTTGTTAAGTAGTTCATTTTTGCATAATGATTCATTTAACAAAACCTTTAAGAACTGTTCAACCATATACAGTATTCTTGTACATTTTCTGCTACCACCCCCTCATCCACATCTTTTTATACCAGGTTTAATGTATGTTCCTAAAGCTGCAAGTTTGTCTTAAAATACTGTCCGTGCTTCCGACTTGGTATAATTCATATGGCTAGAGAATAGCCATATCAGGTGTTCATTATTCACTGCTTCTTCAGACTGGGTGGTATTTTGAGCTTCTGAGTTGTAGAGTTTTAGGAAATTCAGTGAACGGCACGTTGGTCAGGTCATTTCAATTCACCTATAAATGTTGTAGGACCCTTCCAATTTTAATATACAAAAGTTGGATGGATGTAAACAGATCAGAAAAATAGGAATCATAACAGCTGCTCCAAAACTTTGTTAGTAGCAAACCACACATTAGTAAAATGTCAGATTGTGTTAGTTATTTGCATGTATCTCCTACCACTCTCACAGTGGGATAAAACAAAGGGGTAGAACTGTGTGTTTGTGCACCTTTCTGCTGCCAGTCTTTGTGATGGATTTGATTCTGGAGATAATCCCACCTGTGGCACCTCTCTGGAAACCACAATTTCAAAGAGGAAAATGTTATTTTCCGAAAAAAAACTAAAAAAATGAAACATCAGCATAAAATCTCTTCACAACACACGATGTTTGTAGAAGATAAATGCTGTGCCAGTTTCTCGGAGAATGATTAGATATCCACATTGTTTGCTGTTTTCTCATTTTTTCTTGTTTTGGAACACTTATGCTTTTGAATTAAAGCTTCAAGACATTTGATAAATTGTGAAAGGTTCTTTGTCATTCAAGAGTACTGCATTTTACAGTACATGAATAATATTCTTACCCTACTTTACCCTATATTTTACCCTATTATTTGTATGCAGTAGTTTTACTGCTCATAATGCTCCGTAATATAAATCTGAGTTCTGGTAACATTATTAAAATAATTGAAGTTTAAGTAAACATTAAACCTGTATTTACTATCCAACCTACTGAACTACTGTCCAACCATCGCAAGAGTTTGAAATGAAAGAAGTTCTTTATGTCTTACATTTAAAAAAATATATATATTTTCAAATCTAATGAAAAAAAGATAATTTCAAATTATTGTTTGCACTTGATTATACATTTCTAAAGAAATTTCACGTTCTACACATACAGTAAAATACCTGCATTCTACATAAATATTGGTGGCTGCTAGCAAGAACAAATTTTCCCTATAGTGTAGACAGTATCCTGTTAGACTTTAGGCTATCTTCATACCACTCAAACATTCTAAGAACTTTCTAAATCACGTCTGTAGGTTATACATGCAATGAAAAAATGTCCGCAAAACCCAGTATCCATACTTATCGGTGGGTATCTGTCCTTAATCAGTGACAGCGAAACGTTATACAAGGAAGATGTCCTTGTTTTCAAATGCAAATAAAACCATTCGATTGTGGTCAACATAGCTGAAGATGCACAACATCTGATGCTTTCTATCTTTAGCATTTGAAATGGTTAGTTATCTTCTTTTTCATTAAATAGAGATGAATGATGAAACCTGCACCAACTAGAAATGACAGAAATGAATTCTTGAAATAGAAATCTAGTCATGTAAATGCATAAGAAAAAAAGAAAGGGTGGGAATGTGAGGATGCCATTCTGCCCAGTTAGCCTGTTTGGTAGCTAGAAGCTAACTAATCTTATCTTTCAAGAGGCCAGGTAATCATTTTTTACAACAGGGCTGTGTGGCTTGTTCCTTTGTGAAAAGAGTCTCCTGTTCTGAATTTCAAATGCACTTCCGCATAGTTTAAAAGTTGAGTCCTCTGGTTTGAAGAAATGACTAATCGATGTTAACACAATATACAATACTGAACCTGCCATGGATAAATATGAAAATAAATAAAAAATAGTATTGCAATAAAATATCACAATGATTGACATCTAAAAACATAACTTTGTAAGTACTGTACAAGTATGGCAATGTCACAGAAGTATCAGAAGAGGGAGCTACAGAGGCACTTTGTTATAAAAAGAGGACTTGCATGGTTGATTCTATATTCATCTTTTTCATTTTTAAGATTTTCAAGTAAACAGTTCTTTTCTGCATAAATACAGAATGTGGTCATTACTGAATATAATAGGTAATATAATATATAATATAATACACAATGTACTCCAGACATGAACTGTTTGAACTGTTATCAATTTGCATAATTTTACTTTAAATATCTGAAAGCATTTTGGTTGTTTATTTTGTTTTCAGTTTTCACCTGATATTTCTTTGAAATATTATGGTCATTCTGTACAATAATTTATGAGGACAAATTTTAAAAAATCTAGAAAAATGAAGAAACATTTTAAAAATGAAAGTAAATGATGGCTTCATATGCAACAAAGGTCTTCATCTGGTTACTAAAAGGATTACTTTAGGTCATTTTCAGGAAATTAATATATGTTATATTTATTAGGCAATTTATATTTCGCATTCGATTTTTGTTTGAATATGACAATGTCTTTGCTGGAACTTTCAAATCAAAAACAAGGTCAATGTTTTCAGTCAAATATATTTTTTACTATTTCTATTTCTATTAATTGTCATAAACCTATTGTTAACAATTCTGTGTTGTAAAGTCAGTCTTTATCTTGGTCTGAACTAGTGTATGTGTGTTTCCTGTGTTTCAACAGCAGTGATCTTGTTCTTTATATTTCATTTTCCAGGAACACAAAGCTGGTACTTTATCACTAGGGACATCCCTTAATCCAGAAAGAGCTTGAAAGTCAATTTCATATGAGGAAGCATTTTTCAAATGCCCAAAACAACATATTGCAGTTATGCTTTGCAGACATTGACAGATCAAAAAGTTTACATTCAATCACCAATTGGTGGTTATTGAATCAAATTCTCGAAAGTTCTACTGTACATCCATTTTAACATTGTTTTATCATCTATTCCTTTTTCTGGAATAATGGTACATATCTTACAGTTTTAGATAGATGCATGTATTTTACAACATCATGATCAATAAAACTGGCGAAACATCATTTTGATAACATTTGTGAATTATTGGTTACATTGGATTGATTTCATGTGCACAATAAACCATGCAATGGAAGGTACAGTAGGGTGTGATCTAATTTAATTGCACATTATTATACATATTGCTTACGTTACAGCCTGTTTTACTAAAAATGTTTTTTTAAATAAACATAAACTGTTCATTCAATATGTTTAAAAGTTGCGCAGAGGAGTTGATCTCGTGATTGAAAAAAACTGTACTTCAATTATTGTTGAGGAGAAGGTTTGGGGCAATACTGCTTTTGGTTTTATCATAGTAGTCGAACACAATCACAAGCATCAGGATCAAATTGATAAGTTTGATAACATAATGTTGTTAATTTTTTCACAAGTCATTATTTTAGCTGATGTGAAAATGAACTTGGCAGAATACTAATATATAGGTTAATACTTATATCTGGTGTCGGGGACACTGACAGACATCTTTCTGTATTTCAGGCCACATGATATCCCATGAAGTGCAATTGTACCAAAAAATATGGAGACCCTTCATGTTACATTGATACATTAGACAATGCATGACAGAGACCTGCCGTATTAAAGTCAGGGTGTCAGTTTACAGAAGATGCAACTCGGACAAAACCCACAGCACAAAATGAAGCAGATGTAAATACATCAATAACATATACGGTACAGTAGCTTTGGCTTTGCAGCTTGTAATGTGAATGATCATGCAGACTCCTGATGCTTGCTCCTTTGTCTAAAATTACTATGAGAAAGCTGCACAATTGAATTAATCTTAGGAATGTTTATTTTAATATTATATTTTGTTTTACTCAAATTAAATATGTACCATAAAGAAATAATACTTTTTAAAACATTTTAAAAGTAAAACACGGACAGGGAAGTATGAGATCTTAGACTGGTTTATTAAAGTTTAGATTAAATTTTAAAGTCTAACCTGTATAATGAGCATAATGGAGACTTTGGTCTTGTACAAGTCTTTTGGGGAGAGGCTTGCACATTTCTTAAGGCAATAGCTTTTGATTATCAGTTCACTGATTCTGGTGTGTACTGCTTACATAAGTTCTGTTGGTCTACATAATTATAGCATTAAATTGTAAACACTGGACGATGCGAAAATAATAAGCAAAAGCTGAAACAGGGGAACGCAAAAAGAAAACATTGCTGTGGACAGTAGCATGCACAAACAAGACCGGAAAAGCACTCAAGTTCTTGATCATTTTTTACATGTTCCACGTGGGCTTTCACAAAGCACTACCTCATTTAAGGCATCATTTAAGAATGTTTTGGATATGTTGGTATTAATGAACGGGACAAACAGGAAACAATTGCGCTGATTTGAAAAATGAGTTTATAGTAAACGTAAGTGTTACTGTATTGAAAATGCACACCAACACAAAAGCACAGCCATAAAATAAAAATAAGATGAAGTTAGAGTTAACAGTTTGAACACTTACAGGGTGATGGTCAGGAAGTCGTGGCGGGCCTATATTTATACTGCCTGCACAACAAAGCAAAGAATTTAGATCATGTTGACAGAATTTATAGCTTATACAGTATATGCATACACACACACACACATATATATATAAATGAAGCACTCATAAGCACTTCTCTGTTCAGTACATAATCATAAAAATAAACCTTACTCTAAAGTTCAAACTGAATTTGCAGACATAGATTTGAAACCCCTGAGATGCATTTCTAAAGAAAAAAAATACAGAATCTGATTTAAATAACAGCTGAACCACATTTTTGCGATTGAAAGATTTAACTCAGGTTAAAGACAAAGGTGTCTTGCAATGGACTGGCATTCTTAGTGCTTAGCTCCCCCTTGTGCCCTGTGCTTCTGGCATAGACTCAGGGTTGCTGTGACCCTTACCAGCAATAACAGACCTTAGGAATAGAAACCTAAAACACACCTATATAAAATAAAAATAGTAAATTTACTGTTCTTAGTCATTCAATTGGTCTGATTAAGTTAATGTTTGGGTTGGAAAAGAGTCAGCATTTAACAAGGAGAATTTTGTGCCTGTCATGAGACATGGATTCAGTCATGATATTAGGCGTTTTGATCTCTTCAGAGCTCTTATTGTCAATGTTGTATTTCTTGAATAATTAAGTGGGTAAAATCCAGCACTAGGCCTTTTTTGCTCATGGGTGTGTGAATGGCAGAAAAACGTATTTACCACCAGGTGGTGCCAGATGTAAATGTTGAATATGCAACCTTCGTAGCTTAGGCCTCCACAAATGCCTAAGACCTCCAGAATGCCCTGAGTCTTTAACACAGACCAGGACATCATAAAGTTCCTGTTACTAATGATAAATGTCCAAAAATTGTCTAACATACAGACTGAGAGGGAGACCACAAGGGAGACCACTTTGAGAATGACCTTGATGACCAGGTAGACAACCAACCAGGAACCTGATGGTGTCACAACCAATCACCAACCATGTGACTGCAAGCATTGTTCGAGTAGCAGGCCTATAACTTTTCTTCAAGATGGCAGGCTGTGAGTGTCTCTCCACAGTAGAAGAAATCTGCTAAATCGCAAACCACTTGTAAATTTGTTTAACCCTGATGTTATTAAGCTAGAATCAGAATCCAGCTCCTTTTTGAGATTTCTCTGGAAAGGGCTTTGTAGAGGACCGGCTGTTGAGTTTACGGCCGGTCCTCTACAAAGCCCTTTCCAGAGAAATCTCAACTGAAGGAAACCAACTGAACATTCCGGACACTGTTGGACATTACTATACATGATTGTACATTTCCCACCATGTAATAGAATACAGACGACTCTCATACAGTATGTGTTAATTCTAATTTAACCCAGTGCCGGCCAGAGGAGGATAGGCTCCTTCCTTTCGAGCCTGGGTTCCTCTCAAGGTTTCTTCCTACTTTAATCTGAGGGAGTTTTTCCTTGCCACTGTCACCTTAGGCTTGCTCACTGGGAGTTTAGACCCAGAAATCTGTAAAGCTGTTTTGTGAAAATGTCCATTGTAAAAAGCACTATACAAATAAAACTGAATTGAATTGAATATTAATGTCTTTCTAATACTGTATATGAGTTAATGATCAGCAATTTGTATAACAGTAGATCTATCCACATACCTGTATACAGAATACTATTAATCTTATTGCTTTACTCTACACAATGTGATATTGTATTAATAATAATAATATTGTACAATTCAAATCCATGTGCAGAAAGTGCTTGGCAATTTGTCCTATTCCTAAAAGCCATAAATCACTCTCAGAATTTACTGTTGCAATTCTAATTGTTCCAGAAAATGAAACCATCACATCACTATAACAGCTTAACAATATTTTTCACTGGTATAGTATATGTGTGCAAATGACATAGACACAATACTTAGTATAGACCAGACAGAAATGGTGCCGTTAAACCACACTACAGAGTTATTTTAATTGATTCCAATTGCATCGTTTGAAGCTCATTAGAATGCTTTTTTTTAGCACAGATATGACAGTATTGTAATCTTTCAGAGGGTGAAATATACTTTGTGTTCATTTTGAGGTTTTGAGTTTGGAGTTATGTTTGTTTAAAAAAGGACAATGCAAAGACCAAGTGAGTCTGCCTGTTAGGGATTAGACATACTGTATGTTTTTCTCATACTGCCCACAGACTGCTTGATTTTACAGTTTTTTATTATATGAAAATGTTATGGTCATTGTACAGAATACACCAGTAGGTAAAGTAAGTTCTCTTGCCTGTGCCATTCATATATCTATGGTGCCATTTTCTCAGTGCTTTTCAAATATATTGAGACAGTTATACCCCAAAGTTAACTACATAACCACAATAACCTGGCCATAGTTACCAGACCTACTTTTATTTTGCACTAATACTTTCAGTGATCACATACAGTATTTAAATGATACAGTAGATGACAGTTGGACTGCCTGAGGCCATATTTGTTAATTTAATTAGTAATTAATTAATTCAATAATAATAATAATACATTTTATTTTATATAGCGCTTTTAAAGGTGGCTTCTTAAAGCACTTTACAGGATGACAATAACAATAAATAAGAAGACTACAACAATAAATAAGAAGATTTCACAAGATAGGAGACAATTATAATTACAACAATACAACAATAACAATAGAGGAGACCTTGGAAGGTGGTATTAAGAAGAGCAGAGGGGTGAAGAATGGAACCAGTTAAGTAAAGGC